GATATTGAAGATTCAATCAGTCGATTGATTTCAATGCAGAAATTTTAGATTTTTTCTCATGAAAATGTATCTTTCTCAAAATTTGATAAGAAAAGGTTTCTGAGAAATTTGTGACTTTTTCGATAACGAGCATTTCTGAATGATTTCATGCCATATCACCAGGGAAAGGCTCCACATGAATACAGAAAATGAGAATTGTTATTATTTAGCTAATTCAGAGATGCCAGAACATACATTCATTAAATTTGAGAAGTCATGATTTTTAAGTAAATAATAATTAATTTTAATAATTCGAGGGAAAACGGGATTTATTTATAATTCTTGTATATTGTAAAACATATTATATAAATAAATAGAAGTCAGTTATGATTATAGAATTAACGACGGTTCTTTAGCTATTTTACTTGCAAACTGCATACATAAACTATAAACAGATGAAGAAAAGATAATTATTGCGTCAGAAGCAGTTAGTTACAGTTTATCCAGAAAATATTATTTAATTTTAATAAGCTATGCGCTATTTTCAGTAGATCGTTACATAAAAGAATCAGTGTTTTCATATTCCAGGACGCTAGAACTGGAAACTTCCAGGAATGCGTTACGTAAACTAATACAAATGCATAAAACATTAAAATGAAACTACAATGTATAGATTTTCTGAAACTGACATATTCTTTCGGTCATCTCCAAGAAATCCTAAATCAAAAATTAATTCTTGTATTTATACAGAGACATTAATTACCAACAAAAACACTTTAGTAGTCCTAAATCCCAAAATATTGCATTCTAATTTTAATTTTTTTTTTTTTGCTATTCATGTATTACTCATAAGTATTAAGACACAAACAGTATCAATCTTCTAAGCTATATATATAACAAACTCAGTTTTCTTTATTAGAATTTACATTCCAGTGCAATACTATGCCTTTTGCTGAAGGATACACATCTTAGAACATATAATGAAATATTACTTATATTTTCTTTGAAATAAATCACATGTTTCATTATTATGATGAACGGTGTTACACTCTGTTGGATATCATTCTTGATAATAAAAACGCTCCCTACTTAATGATAACTTTAATTTAGGTCACAGTAATTGATAGCAGGGAAATAGACAATGGAAAATGCATACCTGCCCACACACAAATTTATTTTCTGACCAAAGAGATTTGAACACTTGCTGCCAAATGAGAGGGCACATTGCCTTACAGATGACCTGATGGTTGGGTTGGATAGAGGAAATACTAATATGTCAGAAAACTCAGATAAATACAAGAAATTTACGCCTTCTTTAATGGATTGCAGAAAAAGAGTTTTTTTTTTTCTGCAAGAAGTTTTAATAATGCCTTTTTTCGCAATGGATATTCTCTTGTTTCTCATCATCCAAAGAGACATGAACACAAACCAGGAAGTGACTTTCTTCTTGTATAAATCTTTCCTCTAATATATTGCTAATTTTGTCTCTGGAAATATTACATTTCCTTGACGAGAAGGTTTTGAACTTAAGCTCTCTAAGCCGCACGGAGTTTATGCCAAATCGTTAGAATTAACGCATTTATTCACTTAAGACAGAAATATTTTTATGCGTATATAAATGTTTACATTAGTTTTGCATTCACAACCCTATTGGAAATAAGTCTGCGAGAGGAAGCTGTGTAGGAAGCAAATTGAAGTGTAGCAATTTTCAGAATTGCTCAATGATCTAATTTTTATCCGTCATTTCACTGTGATAATGAGCTCCTTATTGCAAATAAAGCGAAACTTAAGGACTATCTTCATTTTACAAAAGTCCCGCTAGTTGTCGATTGAATAAGCAGCTGAATAGTGGGCGTTTGACCTTTGCTCTTCCATATGTGCAACGGAAAACGAGCCAGTTTTCCTTAGAAGACCTTCCACAAAGACATCTTCCTTTCAGGCAAATAACCATTGTGTGTTTCGCCGCATTTAGACAGTCTGTGTATCTATTACGTTTCAGAGATTCTTCGCCACAATTGCAAAGTATAAACCACCTAAAAGTCTGGGCCCACCAGCGGCCGAGCGGTAAAGTCGCTGAACACTGGTAGTTCGGTCCGAGGTTCGAATCCCGCGAACGGGCTGGCTGCATGGGTGTTTCGTGGTTTTCCCCATGTGTAACGTGCATACGAGCCAGTTTCCCTTAGAAAGTCCTCCACGAAAGGCATCCCTCCTCTTAGGCATATAGCCCTAGTGTGCTTTGCCATAATTAAATACACACACACACACCTAAAAGTCTGTGCATAAAATTAAAGTACATCCACATCCACCTACTTCAACATCATTCTCTTTCTGATCTTAAAACATAATTGTAAACTTTACGTCTGCTCCTTAATGATGTGATAATAACCATTCACTACTTATTAATTATCGGAAATGTCACTGACTTTTTCAGCGTATATAGAGGGGAATTCTACGGTTTTTTAGAATGGAGATCAAGATAGTCTTATGGCTTGCATAGTTCGTTGGCTAAATGACATTTGCATCTTATTCTATAGAAAATTTGTTTCATTGTATAATTAGGGGACTGTGTGCCTGAAAAACACAAATAAATACTGTAGAAAGAAAAGAAAATGGTGAAATATTTAATTCATTAGACTTATGTTGACATAATTTAAGATATTATACTGCATAAATCATTACGAACCGATATCATTTGTATTTAAAAGTAAAGTCGTACAGCTTTGCAAATGTTTTTGTGGTACCTCTATTATATCCTTCAAAATGATTATATTCAACTGCAGTACTTCAGTCAATAGTAATTTTACTTTCTTCCAACGTGAAACAAATGTCTTAATTCCCCTTAATGATCATCTGATCAGTTTCCCAGATTCGTATAAAAAATTACGAAATATACCTTACTTAGACTTCTAGGCGATTGAGCAAATTCCGATGAACAACTTGCCAGCTCGTTGCTTAGCTTTAGCCCAAACTTGTCTTTATGCTTGGACAAAATCATCTTTATATATCATTAATTACATTACTGAAGAAAGCATTTCAATAGTTTATGCACCAAGCTTGCCTCTAAACCTAGCTAAAGCATTTTATTGTGTCTTCCATCAATAATAAAATTCATCTATCTTATCTACACTGTATCCAAAGATGTCCTTACTCGGCCTTTATTTCATAACTGTTGGTTATAGATTTATACTTCCAGTTACAAAAAAGATTTAAATGGTGTTAAAACGACGTTTGGGCACTTTTAAGTTAAAAAAAATCAGTTTTGTGTAAGTTAAAGGTCTAACATTTCATATGTTCCGAAAGCCGTATGCTAATATTTAGGAGAATTTTATATTCATTATGCACTGTTGTTACCATAAACTCTAAATATATTTGTCTTACAGTCTTTAAGACTTCAGCAAAAATTTTATAAAAAGAGAAGAAAAAAATTAGCTTGTACAATTTATGCAACTTTGTATTGAACAGAGAAAAAGAAAAATACAGTTAGATTATTGCAATTATCTTCTCTTTATTAAGTAAATTTAAAAGTAAAATTAAAATTAAAAGCCTAATATGACGACTACTGAAGAAAAATCATAATTTCCCAAATATAATAATTGTTATTAGTTAGAGAATTTCAACTTTTCTTTACTCAGCTCATCAAAAAAAAAAAAAAAAAAAAAAAAAAAAAAAAAAACTGATAAATTGCACTTTTTTGCAGGCTTACAGGTATCACATTTCAGTGCTTATGTTTTAGAGCCACCATGGCGCAGTTTGGCGATATTTTACAGAAGACAAAGGTGACTCTATGAATTTTCGAGTTGCACCTTACAATGGATACCTTTACTTAATGAACTTTTATTAGCATGGTTATTAGAGTTTGGCGACTTTTGAAAATTTCGCGACTTTTAATTAGGCGCTTGCGATAATACGTAAGTACCCCAAATTCTACATTTTGGTTAAGAATTCTAGTTAAAATTTCCCTATTTAAACTTTTATACATATTTCATCTAATGCAGAGTTTTCTGAATCCCAGTAGATGGGGAATTTATTATAATGATATAAATATTATAAAATATATGCTGAATTTGGACAGAAGTCTCGCTAATGATAAAGATAGAAAATTTTTGTCATCAAGATTGAAAAGACTTATAATATAATTATTGGTGGAAAAGACTTATTATATAATTATTGGTTTTCAGTTTGCATTTGATTAAAATTTTGGGGTACTTTCGCATTAAAACGACCACCGCTTAAACCTTTGGCGATGTGTGAAATTTGGGGTGAAATGTGCATTAACCCTTACTCCTGGAGATAAAATTATTGTTGGAATATACGTCAACGACAACCAAACACAAATTACTGCCTTGGCGCGATTTTTAAAATGATTGTGGGTTAAAGCCCATTTTCACTGAAATTTACACATTACGGTTAAGCATTTAATTCTAATGCCGCTTATTATGAAAGAACCAAAATTGTTTCAATAAAAATAGATTTTTCGTTTACAATACTCTTTTATCTTTAAAGGAATTTATTCCTCAAAAGTAATGGTTTGAAGTAGCAACTTCGGAGTAAATAAAATGTAAATTACATCGAAAACTCGCCAGTTTGGTGAGGGTTTAATTTCACTGCAAACTTGAGTAATTTATTTTCCGATTGCATTAGTCTGATCTGGTTCAGTCTTCATATAGGGGTAATTGATTGGCTTTTATGATTATAAGTAACATTTAGATATTAATAATACTACTGAAGAAATTCGGTATTCGGTTTTAAAACAATCTAAATTTAATCTGTGGGCATATCCTTTAAAGATGTCACCAAACACATATTTTGCCAACCGTTTCCAAATTACTATTACTTAAACCTATACTGTACACGTACCACATATGGATAAGATACAATTCCATATTTGAGTAAACGATGGTAAATTAGGATGTCAGTTTACAAATGCATGAAATTCTGCCCTTCAAGGTATATTATTGGAAATGCTTTTAAACATTATTAAATTTTTTCAAATGCCACAGAAAATATGTATATTTACTCACTTATTTAAATAATGAAATCGACGTAAATCCTTATGATGCAGACTTTTCTTTAAGTTAGATTTTAAAATTGAATAAACACAAATTTTCGTTGCCATCTCATTATTTTTTTCATTTTCCGAAGTGGATCTTTATTTCTCTATTAAATAGTTAATAAAGTGGCAATAAAATATATTTTTATTGAGTAAGTTAGCTAATAAGCCCCTGATAATCTGAAGTATTCATTGTAACTAAACGTTTCTAATTTTCAGTTATCCTCAGTGTTTCAAAGAAACGTAAACATTTTAATGAAAGTACATGAAAAAGAAAAATGTATTAAAGGCAGAACCTACGATTTTTCATTCTACACGGCGATTTAGCTAAACTTGTATAAACTTGTGGGAAATGTAGAAAGATAAATTGGCACCATATAGCAATACAGGGTCAAATATGTATCTTCAGAATTAGAAGACAAGAAAGGACAAAGGACAAGACTTGAAAGTGCAGCACTTGAGACTACAAAATACAAAATGTGACACATTTTTGTTACTGGGACCAGATTCAGAAATGCACTTATAAGTGTTATATATGTATGTGTGTATGTATTGCTTGCTTCTTAATCAAGAAGAATCAAGGAAATCTTTTACAAATTATTACCATTAAAACTTTCAACAACAGTGAAAGATCTATCTTCAGTTTCTCTCTATTTCTTAGTCCAAAGGGGTAATTTGCAGAGAAGGACTATTAATTTCGTTTTGGCATTTTGCGTTGATTCACTTTCTCCGTTGTTTAACTTCTCAAATTGTTGCCACCAAATAGTATCCCCCTGTATTATATTTAAAGAAATTAAATAATGAAGAATATGCATAAATGTATGATGTTTCTCGCATTGTGATAAAACAGCGCTACCTAGAGCTATTAAATTTTGAATAAAGTAATCTTTCACCAATATGGGCATCTGGTAGCCCTAATTTGAATTTGGAATTTATTTTATTATCGATTTCATATTTTGTAAATCTTTAATGAATTTTTGATTAACAAACTCAAGGATTTCAAAGCGAGAAATGGTGACACTGTACAGAAAAAAACAATTTTTATTTCCAGCTCGGGAGACTGTGTATCCGAAATTCCAAAGATATACTCATTTTAAAATTATTTTGCGATATTGCTGTTGAACTGAATTTTAGGGTTTAAACGCGAAGAACATGATATTTAACAAATAAAGGTAACTCACAAAACGTTAAAAAAACCGTAACGTAATTTAAAATCTGAAACCTTTCAGATTTTTTTTTGGCGATGAGATTCATTCAGCAAGAGAAGAGGAAGAACGATCTTGTTTGTTTATATCAGTCACACATAAAGTCCCTTGATCTCTGAAGTCATCGCAATGTATCTCATTGAAACTCCATTTTCTTCCCCACGTTTCTGTTCTTCAAACTCTTCTTAGTTCTTTTTCTTCTTCTTCTAGGCTAATATCAGTTGAAAATTATTTGCTTTCATTCCCATCAATTCATCACGAGTACCTACTTCTTTGACAACTCGGTCTGAAACTTCTATCATTTTGTTAGCAGTTTTGATAGAGGAAAGACTATGCACTATAATTATTGTTGTATGTCCTAGCCTGGCCTGGTCAACAGCTAGCTGACTGCACAATGACTTCGTGATACTTATCCATTACCGAAACCCTCTTGGCACAATTTGGAGAACTTTACGCAAGAAAAAATACTTTATTGTAAAAAGTGTACATTGCATGCATACGTATTTTATGCTTCAAATTTATATTTATTCCCCAAAACAATCAGTAAACCTAGTTATATGCGGGTTTTGTTTTTTGTTGCGGGGGAAATTTCGTAGCTATCGCTTTGTAAAAGGATTCGAACCAATGTTTCTTTAGCAATTTTTTGGCAAAATATTGTATTCTTACAAAAAATTCTCTTCTATTTCTTCTACTACTGGTAAATCCCTAAAGCACAAATTTTAAAATAAAGACAAAAAGATTATAATTTTTTTATAAAATCTGTTAGAACTTCGAATACTCATACGCATATGAAAATGACGACGTTAGAAACTGAATATTTGTCATGGATCATTATTATGCGCCTGTTTACCAAAGTTTGCCGTATTCTGACAATTTGACGATTTCTACGAAGGTGATTGCTATAATACGTAAGTACCGGATTCATTTCGTGTATTTTAATGTAGATCTATTGCTATCCTTTTTTTGATTCTGTTATCTTCTCCTGTATTTAAATTTATTACTCATAAAAGCGATTTTAAAGAGCAGCAAACATTTATTGAAAGGTAAATCGTATTCGTAAGATATTTGACATACATGTAGCTTATTTTAAAACGTACGTATCGCAATAGACGGTTTTACTTCATCGTATATTGATAGCACATCGTTTATGAATGGCCACAGAACGACAACCAGAACTAGCTGCTGCCGTTTTTCAATAGATATGCCGTCTAATAACAATAAATAATTTAGAGTCATGCTGTGTGTGTATGCGTATATACACATACATATGTACGTGCATACATAGACGCATACATGTACATATACATACATACACAAATTTCTGAATCCGGTCCCGATAATAGAAATGTACCCAAAATGCTTTATTACTAATAAGGCATTTTCAAAAGACATTCAAAGTATAAAAGTTTTTTAGAGTTACAATCATAGACTATAACTTGAGTTTGACATCGCTGGCATATGGAAACATGAGCATTTTGGAAAATTATTTGGGTCTCTCGGACCGTCGAAGAAGTTACAGGCTACAGAGATGTGTGTTACAAGGATATCATCACTTCAACAAGGTGTATTGCACTAATCTTCTGACATATAAGCGCAGTATTATTTCATAGTATAGTAATAAATTTCATACTTTATAACAGATAATTTTTGTTATAGTAATACGTGAAATTGTAGTTATTTTTTTAACATAATGTAACATGAAAATTCTAAGGAAGCGAAACTCTGCCGGAAAAATAAGAGTACAGGGGCAAGCCTATTTAGCATTTAGTAAATGGCTATATCCCGCTGAATTGGCAAGATATCGCCAAACTGGCGATGGTTTCGACAATTAATTTTTGTCGCGAAATTTAGAGAGAAATCGCTAAAACGTCTCCAAACCTTGTTGACCATTTGGAGGCATTTTCGTTCGGTCCCTGTATAAGTGTAATGGGTACCGTAATTGAATAACTATAATTTATCCCATAAGTAACTGTAACAGTGACGTAATGTAGCAGAGAAGCTCAGTCCTTCTGGCAGATTTTACGTTGCCCTATAGTCTTTTTATGAGCTGCGCCAGAGCAACAAGCCAGAAACAAAACCACACAATATCCCGAAGAAACAAATCAGAAAAACATAAGAAAAGAGAAGTCATAAAATTGAACCAGAAGGTACTTAATGCATAAACCACAGTTCTTTTTATTTTTGATGCATTTTTTATATTCATTTAACTGTAACCGTATTCTTCTATATTCCTTCCAAATTTTCGAGATGTACTAGAGATCTCTCGGCAGCTAAAAGAAAACTATATAAGATCGGGGTTAACATGAGTTTTTGAGTTATTGTTTAGTTCAACGTGGTTCGGAGTATTGAGCTCTCTGTTAGCTTCGCTGTTTAGATGTTCTTTGCATTGAGTTGTGTTTAACGTTCTTGAAAATGTGAAGTGTAACTACTGATTGCACTCTGTGATACTATGTACGAATATTTTGGGGAAACGTTCCTGTAAAGTGAAGGCTTTCTTTTTGTAAAATAGATTTTTATCAAGATATCTGTTCTGTATGCATTCAGTCCGTTACAAACAGTATTATAAGCTGTAAATTATAACACAATATAAAGAAATAATATGTAACTAAATCATAAAATTTAGAAATTTATACTACAAACAGTATTAGAATACATCAGTTTTTGTTTTATAGAATCCATAAGAATGCAAAATAGATTTTATAGTAATAAAGAAAAGTAAAAATTATATCCAGAATAAGTAATCGAAATACGTTACTACTATTGCGTGCAGTTTACAAATGACGGCATCCTTAAAAGGAAGTATAAACAATATAGCCACCAAAAGAATATCGTCATCTGATGATATGGGGAAAATGGCGTTTTCGAACCTGCATTCCTGCATGTTTTCGATTTGTTTTTTCATTGTGTATCTTACCCCTCTCAGATATTTGTGCTCATTTAATTAAATTCCTCTATATTCGTACGTGCTTGAGAGATAACGCGAAGTTTAGAAATTATTAACTCCTTGTGTATTTAAATTAGTCACTCATTAGACGTTTTTAAAAGACAATAAACATTTATTAAAAGATAAAAATGTTCTCGTAACTTGTTAGGCCTAAATGTACATATCATAACATACGTTCTTAACTGCACCCTGCATTATTTATAGCTTTCTAAAAATAAATAGAACGATAACCAGAACTAGCTATTGCAATTTCACTTTCTGTCTAATTACGATGTGTAATTTACCATCATGCTTACATAAGAATAGTTTATTTTTCAGCGGTTAGCTAATTAATATTGAATACTAGGGCTACCTTTATCTGCACAAACATTTGCGATCGCATACTTAAAATATCCGTTTTCGTGCATTTGCAATTAGTAGTAGTTAACTCATGAGTTTATGAACTGCTTCTAATTTTCTGTTTCATAACCACTCTCTTATAGTAAATCTTAATCAGAGTAACTTGAGTTTTTTAAACCTTCTAAATTTTTTCCTCATTTCCGTTGTTGGGAATTTTTCGATTTTTGGGAAGTCTGCAACAGTCCTTTTAAGTGATTTTAAACATATGCCAAACTAAGAAAGAAAACATATTGGCATTACAGGACACCTGGATCTTATGTTGGAAAACTAAAAATGAAGAAGGCTTTTCTAACTAATTTTCTTTTTTATATTTTCGCTCTACTAAAATTACCCTAAAACTTTCTTCAGTTCTTGAATTATATTTTGTTAAAGCATTCCACAGTTATTAAAATCTGCCGAATTAAGCTGGCGATTTAGTTTCTGGTCCACTTTATTAAAAATTGTTTCAAAGTTTTACCACGTACATTTTTAAAATTTAAATCTACTCTCTTTTGCTTTGTTCGACTTAGA